AAATTTTCGTATGGAAGTTCAGGAAATTAGGTAAAGCAAGAAAAATAATTTGGATTTATTTTGTATTTAAGAATGACAATAAATTATCTTAAAACATTCATTAAATTACTAGGATGGATTTCTAGCTCTTTTACATTTTACATGCAGACATAAAAATAATCCTCACAATGTAGAGGAGAGATAAAATAGATCATCTTAAAATAATGCATCTTTATTTTTTTTGGAGAAGATTTTGCTATAGGGTGCATGTGCTTGCCAGACACACAATGAGAGACAGAGAGACAGCAAGAAATCAACCCCCAGGGGGGATGGCCCAGCCGCACTCCCCCGCAATCCCTTCTCCTCCATTCTCCTCTAGGGATCTTGGGCACACACACACATGCGCCCAGCGTGACTTTTAAGCCACTGGGTCCAGGACGCGAACGTGGTCGACTATGTGGGAGTCCAGCAACATAGCTATTACACTAATTGCTGGTCCCAAAATAATGCATCTTTAAAAAAGTATTCTAATTCATCAGTTGAAATAAAAATTTAGAAATACTTTAAGAACTCACAATTACACTAAAAACAATAAAGAAACAATCTTTTAAACAAAATAACAAAACATATTCATATATAATTTTGATTAACCTCACAGTTTAAGATTACATCTCAGGATAACTAATCACTGGCCACTGTCTATCCCCTACTATCAAGAAGTTGAACATAGAACTATACCTTCTGTGATACAGCTATGCTGCTGGCCTCCTCTGTATTTCTTGGTTGCTTTACAGATTCACAGTCATACACCAGATTCTTAACATGAAGCTGAACATCAGTCATGTGCTGGTGAAGAGCCCCCAGAGGGCCTATTGTCAGGGGTCCACCATGCAGATTTTGGGTCATGCCATCTGAAATACCCAATACTGGTTCTACATTAGAATCTGTTTGAGAGACCTGTGAAGGAAATGTAACACCTGGAAGGCTGATAAACTGAGAGTTCCCTTGCTGACTCAACAAAGCTTCAGACACAAGTTTAGGCTCATTTCCAGGAGGTACAAGTGTATCACTGGAGGCATTTTCTAAGTGTTTCTTATCCACTGGCCCAGAATGTAAAGCTGCAGGTTGTTGCAACACCATGTCCATTCTCTGTGCTTTTTCAGCAGTTGCTTGCAGAGAACATGGGTTCAGTCGTGGAACACCAGTCTGTATTACTGAAGGCTGCCCAAGCTGCTGAAATACGTGCTGAATTGGATGCTGAAGAATATTTGCCCCTCCAGAAGTCTGTGTCACCATAATTGGCACATTGACTTTATAAAGGTGACCTTAAAAGGGGGAGAACAAAACTAAGTATAATAAAATTCTAATTCCCTGAATTAAAAAAAAAAAAAAAAAAGAAAGAAAGCATACCAACAGTGGCCTGGGAGGAAACACCAATATGTTAATAGTGGTTATCTCTAAGAGTTTTTCTTTCTTTCTTCAGACATTTTTGTATTTTGTACAATAAATATGTATTACTCTGATATTATGAAATTATACTTTTTTAAGAGAGATTTTTGCTATAGGGCGCATGTGTTTGCCAGAGAGAGAGAGACAGAAAGTGATAAATCACTCCCCAGGGGCAATGACCATACTGCAATCCCTTTACCTCCATTCTCCTCTCAGGATTTTGGGCACACATGCACAAATGCCCAGCATGAATTTGAAGCCACCAGGTTCGGGACTCGAATCGCAATCGGCCATATGGGAGTCCAGCAATATAATTATTATGCCATCTGCTGGTGCCAATCATACCTGTTTTAATTGTGGTCTTTACCTATTTTTAGGCATATAGCACATTGTGAGAGACATGCAGGCCACCAACATTTAATTAGTGAATTTCTACTACTGTTTGATAAATTAATGCTATCAATCCAAAACAGGATTTTAACAAATGTAATCATATAAAATGCCATAGAAAAACTACAATACAAGGCTATCAAAAAAAGAGTTTGATAATTTCAAAAGTTATCTTCTTTAAAATACTAAAAAGGAAAGAAATATTTTTCAACATTGAATTAGGTACTTTACTTAAATTTATAACAATTCAAATGACAGCACTGAAAACCAGAGGCTGGTTAGCCTTCAAACTTTTGGATGTCCTTTCTGTTAAACCCATGCAATCTTCAATAAGAAAGGAGTCAAAGGTTGATTAATCTAATCTTTAGTTTTCCTACAGAGCTAACAGAGACATAGATATTTTATATTTGCTGAAATTCAGATAACTGTCTTGAATTCAAGAAAATACATACAACAAAGCATTTTATATGCTGGGAAGGAAAATTGGAATTGAAATGTAAGACATACCTACTATGGTGTCTCTGGTGGTGGATTTCACAGCAATTACAATCACTGTTGATTAATACTTTTAAAACAGGTCTCATTAAAAATTCCTGTTAAGTGGGGCCAGCAGGTAGCATGGTGGATAGAGGTGCTGGATTCCCACATGGGCAACTACAGTTCAAGTCCTGGACCTAGCAGCTTGCTTTTCTCGCTTTCCCTTTCACTCTCTGACTCTCCAGTCAAATTGGAAAATGACATTAATAACAAATGAAATTAAATAAATAGTTTTTTTTAATCCTGTAAGTTCTTAGGAATAGCAGATGGCATAATGGTTACATCCTGGACTCCCATCTAGTTGACCATCGTTCAAGTCCCAGACCTGGCAGCTTAAAACTCATGCCAGAAGCATGTGTGTGCCTAAAATCCCAAGAGGAGAATAGAAGAGAAGGAATTGCGGCATGGTCATCCTCCCTGAAGGCTGATTTCTCACTTTGTCTCTGTCTCTCACCTATAGCAAAAAAATCTCTCTTAAAATGACAACAAAAAAATTCTCTAGGTTCTTGAGATCAGCAGATGACATAATGGTTGTTACATGGACTCCCACGTAGTCAACTGCAGTTCAAGTCCTGGACCCAGCAGCTTAAAACTCATACCAGGTATGTGTGCACGCATGCCCAAGATCCCGGAAGGAGGATGGAAGAGAAGGGATTGTGGTGTGGCCAACCCCCAAGGTGGAGAGTTTTTGTTTTCTATCTCTCTAACTCTCTCTCTCTCTGGTGAGTGCGCACACCCCATAACAAAAAATCTCCCCCCCCAAAAAAAAATAAAATTCCTGTAAGTTCTAGTATAGAGTTTATTTTTAAAAATCAAAAAATTAAGGTCCAGAAGTTAGTACCAATGCTAAAAACAAAATATTCTTAAAATAGTCTCTCACCAGATACAGTCTGTAGTGTCACACCTGCTGGTACATGAATAGGGTAACCAGGAAAAGTGAAGTTTGCACTAGAGTTGGAGGTTCCCTAGATATAAAAATATATATATATATTAGAAAGTTAGAAAAATACTTTACCTGTATCTTTTTTTCTGGTATCATAAAGGGTTCAAAAAATCTGATTCTAGACAATAGGACAATTGTATAGTAACATTTAACATTAAGGCTGAGTTCTTTGAATAAAACAGCTTTTTAAGAGCATTCCATTAAAGAGCAAGAGGAATTCTGTTCTACAGTCCGCAGCAATGAAGTCAGTAAGTTTGAATGAGTAATTGTGAACACTGGCTCATAAAACTTGCTCAGTTTATAGCTTTGATAGTCCACTGATTCTCAAGATGTCAAATATAAGAACCACAGCCATTTGCAAGAGTCCTCTAGTATCTAAGTCAATCATTAACAATATTTTAAAGTAAGTTATGATAGAGTATAATCTTTATTTTGGAATAATTAAACCTTACTGCTTTAAAATAAAAAGACGAGGAAACATTTTTGCCTAGCAGATCTGTAAAATTTTAAAGATTGGTAATTAATACCAATGTTGGTAAGGATATAACTTAAAAATGGTTATCTCAGACCCCCACTTGTATGAATGTATATTGGTATAAGCATTTTTAAAGGTCATTTTGTAATATATACCAAACTGAAAAGACACGTGATCTTTGACCTAGAAGTTCTACTTCTAGGAATTTATCTGTTTATCACACAAATAAAACAGTCATATATACAAGTATAGTCAATTGAATACCACATTAGGAAAAAAACTAGAATTTCAATGCCTGCCAACAAAATGTTAAGTAAACAGTTATACAGTCATCCATATTACTAAGTTAAAAAAAAAAAAAGAAATTACAGAAACAGAAAATAATAATCCTACTTTTTATCCTTATAATTAATACAACTTTCAAGAAAAGGAGCCAAGATAGATATATGTTAAATAGTTAAAACTTTGGGGTATAAGAGTGCAGGGCTGAGAAGAAGGTTCCACATGGCTCCAGCGAAGTAGATATTTCAGGGAATGAAGATTTTCTACTGATAATTCAGCCTCCAGCAAAAAAGCTAGCAGTAGGGAGCCCCTGACCCGCACCCCCAGCCTTCTATCTCTGTTTCTCTCCACCCTCCAATATCCATTCATTGTGTTTTTAGACGGATCCAAGAGCACTGTAGCTAAACATCCAAATATTAATAGGGTTAAAATATTCCCCAATATCTACTGAATCTGCTGCACCAGCGATCACAACAGAACGGCAAAGAGATTCTAGATCACCTCTGTCTGCTTGCTCCTGAACATTCAGGCTGAACTTCAAGAATTTGAAAGAAACACACCATCAATCAGATGACAAGAAATCACCGCCGGATAACGAGAAATATGGGAAAACGAGAAAATACCTCTCCTCCAAGGGAAAAGAGTAACTGTTCTTCATCCACAAGCAGTTCGGTGAAAATCATGGAAATGTCTGATAAGGAATTTAGAACATTCATGATGTCGAAGCTAACAGAGATGGAAGAGAAGAGAGATAATGAACTGCTAAAGAGAAAGGAGAAAGAAGTTGTTGAGTTCCAGGAGATGAGGAAATTCTTGCAAGATCTAAAAGAGGAATTACACACTTTACAAAAGACTCAAATGGAACTGCTAGAGATGAAGTCTATAATACGAGAAGTCAAAATCTCCCTTGAAAGTATTAAAAGCAGACTAGATCATTCAGAAAATAGAATCTCAGCTGTAGAAGAGAAAATGGCTGGCCTAGAAAAATCCACCACGAAGACTGGGAAAAAATGGCCCAAAAATTTGAGAATAATATGCGAGAAGTACTGGATACCATCAAACATCCAAATATCCGGGTAATTGGCATTCCAGAAGGTGAAGAGACCCACAAGGGCATTGATAATCTATTCCATGAAATCCTGCAAGAAAACTTTCCAAACCTAGAGAGGCATTCGAAGATCCAGTCCCAGGAAATACAAAGGACCCCAAATAGAATCAACCCAAGAAGATCTTCTCC